TTTTTTTTTCTTTGTATACATTTTAAGCTTTACCTTGGAATTAACCAGAAAAATCAGAAGACTTGTTAAAATTCAAAGTCATTTTAAAATAAGATTTAATTTTAGAAATCAATCTCTTTTACTCCTTCATTTATTTTAATGTTTTTATACCTTGTGCTTATCATTAAAATTATGATAAAGTTAATTTTCCATTTTTTTGTAAACTGAAAATTTATATTCATGATTAAATTCAAATCTATGCTAGAATCAAAATTTAAATAACAAGTTATTTTTAATTCAATATGTTTTTGAGGAGCGAAAAACCATTCTATGTCATTATGATTAAAATGTATCGACAAAATGTATTGCTCAGCATTAACAAGTTTAAAGGAGTAAAATTACAAAATTCATTAATTAAATTTTTTAAATTTTAATACACTTTTTTTCTTTTTAATTAGTTTCGGATTGATAAATAATTTTTTGTTAACTAAATTGGTGTGGATGTAATAGTTAAATCATCGTCGTCATAAACAACGGAAATAGTTTAGATAATTACAATTAGACAAATTACAATATTAAAATAACACAACTAACTTTAAAATATTAAATCAAGCAAAGCTTATGACTTTGCATTGGCTCGCCCCCCCCAGTGAAAAAAAAGTTGGCACGCCACTGATTAAGGTTGAATCCTCTACCCACAATAAAGCTACATTGTTAATAAAGCTAAATGTTATTTAATGCACAATTTTTTTTAAAAACTTTCTAGAACTTTTCTAAAATTTAAATAAGATTTCTGAATTTTTTACAGGAGTTTAGCATAAGTACAGACATTATTTAAATGCATAAAATTTTGCGCAATAATGCTAAGAACTTTAATAAATTCTGTCTACAGCAAAAATTTGAAGAGAAAAATAAGATACTATGATGTCTTGTACATACAATAGAGGTTATCGACATATAATGAATTTAAGCAACATGCTATATTTAAACCAATTACAAATTTTTAAGTTCATGGGTTTGTGAGAAGTTAAGTAATCTTGCAAAGCCAGATGAGAATTCAGAAAAACATACCTAAGATTAAGATAATTTCAAACAAAATACCTTAAATAATGAATACAATTGTTTTGTAATTATACAT